CCAACTCCACTTCCTTGAATGCATCTCTCTAGCAACATCTGGGGTCTTTTTCTAGAATGTTTCAGTTTTTTCCAGAAAATGCTTTGCTCTGAGATGACCTACCTTTGTTCTTCAGGAGCATGCACTCCCTTGCGGGTCCCGCCAGGTCTTCTTTCCTTGCCAGTAGTTTCAGATCCCCGCCACCAGTCCCAGTACCCACCACCACCCTCCTGCGTAACTCATCATGTCACCAGCAGCATCTGCTCTTGGGTGTTTCCACTGTCAGAGCCGTCTTTAAAGTTAGAGAGTTTCCACTCCGCATTCTTCCTGGGATGAAGAGGGGACGCCTGGGGCTTTGCCATCTCCTGTGCTCACTGCGCCCACGAGTGACCTTTCCCGGTGACGGCCGCCCAGCTCTCCAGCGTCCTGTGAGCACTCACAGAGCCAAAGAGCTACTTCCACCAAGGCGAGCCGTGAACTGGATTGACATTTCTCTGCTTCTAATGTGTGGGGACTTGTGCTCCAGCCACTGGGTCAATTCTGTCTCCTCCTTTTGACCCCTCAAGCCCATTGCATGAAGCTATTTTGATGAGTTTTTTCACTGGTTTGCAAAAGCTCTTCACATATGAAGGACAGGCAGCCTCTGACTACCCCCGGCCATTTTCATTTTCGTCTCCTGCTCTGGTTTCAGCGGCTTGCGCTCTGTCCTTAACGCACCTGCCTGTGTTTCCTGTGCAGGCAGATCCTTGCGGCCGCCAAGAGAGCAGACCAGGTGGGCCACTTCCTGTGGGTGGGGTCAGACAGCTGGGGATCCAAAGTGAACCCCCTGCACCAGCACGAAGACATCGCCGAGGGCGCCATCACCATCCAGCCCAAGCGGGCCACCGTGGAAGGTAGGGACAGGGCCCGGGACGGGGTGCGGGGCGGGGCGCGGGGCGGGGGTGGGGGTGCCGCAGGGGGTGAAGCTCAAGTCGGGGTGCGGGGCGCTTCTGCATCCTTTCAAAGGACCCTTTCCACGCCGCCGCCACGAAATACCAGCGAGGCCACACACCGGTGTGTCCCGGCTGCCCTCTGAGCCGAGCGCTCATCACGACGCCCCTTGGCGCGGGCCTGGGCTTTCCCAGCCCCTGAGGAAGCGCCTGCAGGGGAGGCGAGTCCGCGCAGTCCCGGGGCCGCGTTCCCCGTTGTCGCCCGACCATTAGCTCCCCTCAGGATTCCTACAGCGCCCCTCTCCCCCACTGCCTCGGGGTCCTCCAGCCTGGGGGGCTGCGGTCACGCGGGCCACTCAGCGGCCTCGCCCGCCCCTCTCCCGCCTCCCGCCCTCGTCTCCTGGGCTCTGGCCCTGCTGCACCTGAGGCCCGGCGAGGGGACAGGCCCTTCACGGCCGCCCTCTGCCCCAACAAAGTTGCTGAGTATAATCCGCGTTCCTCCAATT